AAGACTGAAACGTGTATGGGCTTTCCCGGTTTCTAGAAGCGTGTATTTTCTGCGTTTATATGGACGGGTATTTGGGCTTTCCGGTAATCGGGGCCCACCAGCAGTGTCACCTGTGAGGAAATTTTGGTGTTTCTGGCCATAATATCCTTCAATAATTAAATTATTCTCTAAAATACCATCCGTTTGAAAGCAAAAACTCAACGGTCTGCTGGGTGACAGCGTTTTCTTTCTCTCTAGAAATTCACGGTCTGGAGGTCAAATATTTAATTTGGCCAAATTATCGGGCGGCGGCCGACGGGGGCATATTGGGCACGTGTCCCATTAATTTGGAAAAGCTTCCCTCAATTATTCCATTGAATGATTAATAAATTTTAATTCTATTTTTCAGAAATTATATATATATATATATACATATATATATATATATATATATAATATATATATATATAACATTTAGGCATGTAAACTAGGAATGGGGTGATATATATGAAGATGCTCTTAATTTTAATATGCTCTCCAATCATTTGAATGAGACCGTTTTAGTCTTGAAGTTTATAGCACGGTTAAATTAATTCTTAAATTCGTTTAATTGAAACTGAAATAGTTCTCAGGAATAGCTATTAGAGCTCAAATTTAAAATAGTCGTAATTCTATAAACTCTAACACTAAAACGGTTTTGTACTCTCACCTTTATTTTTAAATCAAAGTCCCCATCATTATTTTGATTTTAATATATTTGAAGGAGTAATAAATTGGGAAATGAATGGAAATTTGTTATTAAGAACTCTGCTGAGACCTTCAACTTTGAAAAGTCTAAATTGTTAGGTAGTAGAAAGTTTGTTAATATAATTTTAAGCTTAATCTTAAACATGAATATTGGTATAATCTATCTTGGTATATAAAGGACCATTTAATGAAATTTTTTTATCTCTCTTTAATGGAAGGTTCTTGAGATTAATTATAGCCTTATTTAACCCTTTTTTTTTTCATAGCTTTGTCATTTTAAATTGGCATGAGATGAGTTTAGAATCAAGAAAGTAAGTATGATAATGACCGGTGAAAGATGTATTCAAAGTGGATAAATTATGTTCGGATTAAAATTTGATCACATAAGTTTTAAATCTTTTATAAGTTTAATGTGATATTAGGGTAAAAATACAATATTATTTAAGAATTATGCTTAATATGCTCTCAACAAATTTTTATCCATCAATATGGATCTCAAGACAATTTTTTTAGCAACAAATATTTAAACTTCAATTAAAGATCATCCAGGACTTTGATTTCAGCAAGCATAATGTCGAACTGACCAGTTCGAAGAGAAGGGCTCGATGACTCCAAAGTTGATCTAATATGTATTTTGAAGAGTTTTGATGTCAAATTAAAAGGTTGAATAGTTTCCAAATTTGGCAATCTTATATTTAAATCAAATATCTCGTAAAGAAGGACTAGGGGAAAAAGGACCCAAAGTACGGTGTGTTTATACACCGAAAATTTGACGAATGTTTTTCACTCCTGCAACTGCCAACCACTGTTCTTTGGCCACCGTCGGCCGGCCCCAACTCATTGCAACGAAAGACCTTTGCGAAATCATAATATGCGCTACAAAATTCTGGTGTAATTTGCATAGTAATGAGGTATTCTACGGAACAACACAACCCTAAAATGGTATAATGACTCACACCAAAGATGGTGCAACAATGCACTCTAAAGACAGTGCAACAATGCACCAAGAATACGGTGTCAAGTCGCATCTCGCAGTAAATACTTACAATTGTTGAACTCACGATACAATGACTTTTCATTGAACTCTTAAAGCTCTCTCATTGCAGTATGTCTTTATGGCTTATATGACAAACAACGGTTTGCGTGGCTCACAACTCACACCTCCCAAATCGAGCCTTTATTGCCTACAGAAGTTATTGTTGTTGACCCTTAATCCTTAATAATAAGCTCCATTCGACATAGCAGAACTAGGTTATCGAGCATAGGTAAATTACTATAGTCTGATAGATAGTCGTCCTAAGACGAAGTGGTCCTGAGGGATGCCTGAGACTCATCATAGTGATTTTTTATGAAGTTCAGGGAGAATGTTGGATGTATGTTGTTGAATAGTATGATTCAAAGGGTTAACTTCTCCCTTGAGTTGGTTGAATCACTCAGATTCAGATGTTCGATTGCTTTGGTTAGCCCTGGTCTTGATATGTTCAGTCGGCAAAACTCAATACATCCCTTTAGACAAGTGAACCTCTATGTCTTCTGTCGGAAGACCATCCTTTGATATGACTTGTCCCGTCCGCATCGTTAGATATACTCAAGATTCGTGTTGGCACTTGTTCTTTATACAAGTATAATTTTAATCTTGATATTAGAAAGTATTAGAAACTTTGTCAACAAAATTTTAATCTTAGATTCTTACATGAACTTTGGTATAATTAATTTGTCTTGGTATGTAAAGGTCCATTTAATGCAACTTTTGTTTTCTTTTTAATGGAAGATTCTTGAGATTAATTAGGACCTCGTTTAACAATTATTTTCATTGCATTATCATTTCAAACTAGCATGAGATAATTTTAGAATCTAGAGAGTAAGTATAATGGTGAATGGTGAGAGATGTATTTAATGAGAAAATTTCTGCTTAAATTAAACTTATTGTGGTATTAGTGTAATACAAGATTATTCATGGATTCCACTTATTTAAAAAAAAATTAAATTTTTATAATATGATGCAAATTATATCAAAATATTTTGGTTTTTTTTTTTCTTAGCATAGTCATTGTAAGTCATCGTCCAAGATATAATTCATAGACTTAATATCATTAAATATATACATACATGGCATTATCTTATGCATTTGCATATTTAATACTTAAAACTTGTATATATATATATATATATATATAAAGACAAATGACAAAAGATTGTCATAAATTTAAATTAAATTATAGATCAATAATGGAGCACGTGCCATTGCATGCATCTTCGATGAGACTTCTCACCTTACCAAATGGACCTTTCCTTGAGAAGTATTTTAATTAGAAATAGAAAGACTGTAATGTGTTGATATAGACAGTGAAATCAAAAATAAATAAATAAATAAATAAATTGGACTGAATATTCAATTAAAATAATGGAAAATTACAAATTTCAACATTCAAATTTAGAAATTTTAAGTTTCTTCTTGCATCAAAGTACGCATGATAATGACTTTTAAGTTCTAGATTATTCAGATTAATTGATATCTTTTAATGCAAATTTGATAAAATTATAAATTATTTAGTAGTTTTAAATTTTCATGATGCAAGAGTTGAAGTTTAGGTGCTAGCTATGTAAATACATTTGAATTGGGTGGTATGTATGTAAATGATTCCTAAAGATGTGAGTGCTATGTGTGTAAATACAAAAGCTTAGGTGTGAGATATGTAAATACAATAGAATTGTGAGCTATGTAAGGTAAATGCCCCTTAAATAATTATATTTTCAGAAATTTAAACTTGACATTAATTTAAGAATATAACGCGATGTTTACACTAAATAAGCATTAATGTATAACAACATATGGAGTTATATATATCTCAGTTGCTTTCACACCACCGCAATCCCACATAGGCGAGCAAAGCTGTGCCTTACATTTAAGGGGTACGTGGATAGGTCATTGATGTGTTGATATCAATGCATATCTACAAAGATTTCTAAATAAATACATAAATAAAAAGAGTTTGATTTATTATCAAATTATGGACGAATCCATAAGAGTAAAGTGTCGATATAGTTCCTGAGAAGCGCATCCAATCAGATTGGATGGGTCGAGTGTATGAAGAAATTGGCAAAAGATGGGATCGTTCTATTAAATGAGAAAAAAAAAAGAATATAAAAAATTCGCGTGATTGAAGCTGAAGCAGCTAGTTGCGAAGTAATAGAAACTATAGTGGGATAGTAAGAGTCGAAAAGAAGATTCCTCACTTATTTCTCTCATTCAGAACCATGCATGAGACTATTTACATGAGGTTATTTTAGTCATAGAGTTCATAGAAATGTCAAAATAGTCCTAAACTATTTTAAAATTGAGCTCTAATAGTCTTTCATATGGACTATTTCAACTCCAATTTAAATAGTATGATGACTATTTTGGCACTTATGTAAGCCAGAGACTAAAACGACCCCATGTAAATGATAAAAGACTATTTTGGCACCTTACTCAATAAAGAAAATAAGAGTTATTAGAGAAGCTTGTAAGCTCAAATAACAAGAGTTGAGTTGTTTCTAATTGATTCATATATATATATATATATACATACATACATACATAGGCTCCATAAAAACTTATAGTTAATTCTAAACGAGTAGATACGACACAATTAGTCAAGGCTAATATTTCAAAATAGATTTGACTTTTTTATACGCTCATAACACTTCATCTATTTCAGTTAAGTATGATAAATTTGTTAATACATTCATAATATGACTTAATTTAGAATTCTATACAAATCTTAGAATTAGTAAGTTGAAATTAAGTTTTAAATTTAAAGAACCCCCTCAAATCGTCTTGGATTCATCACTACATGAAAGTCAATAAGTTTATAAGAAAATAGAACCACCCCACATGTGGTGTGAAGAAACTTCTTATAGACAAACATTGTTTCTATATTTTTCTCCTTTAACATGCTATCAATGTTGATTTTGCGGCCTTAAATTAAGACAGATGCACTGATTTGAATAATATCTCAAATTGTTAAATCAAATTTTGCATGAAATTTCAAAATAATCCAGCACTGCTTGTTGAACAAAGAAGATCATTTTCATGCAAAACAACTAACAAAACATCTCAATTTGCATGTTTTACATATAAATTTAAGAACATTGAACAAAAAACTTTTTTTTTTTTTAAATAAAAATCATGACCATTGTTTTCTCTATAGAAAATATAAGTAAAAAATGTGCATATAAAAAAGAGAATAAAGAAAAAAAAAGAAGGAAATTTCAATAAATTTGCTATCATGATTCATGATCATATTACGTAATGTAAACATAAACTTTTTATGTTTTGTACAAAAACTCAACATAATGGCATCTTGATATTTCCTATTATGATAAATAGCATACAATCCATTTACAAATGCTTGTAATAATAGATTAAAGAATGAAACAATGGATGAATGCAACAAGTTATGAAAATTGCCATCAACCAAAAGAACAGCACCTGGAACCTGAAGCTCCTGAGGTTTCCCTGTCATCCTCTTCTCTTAGAATGACTGCTCTCCCACTTCCGAGCGAACTCCCATCTTTCTTCATCTCTTGGGAGTGGAAAATCTTTCGGCTTAGTATGTCGTATATCTCCTTGACAACGGTTTGGAAGGCGGCGACGACATTTGAGTTGTCGAGGGCAGAGGTCTCCATGAAGAAGAGGCCGTGCTCTTCGGCGAAAGCCTTGCCTTTGTCGGTGCTCACCTCTCTCGCATCTTTGAGATCAGTCTTGTTACCAACAAGGATGGTCACAACGTTCATGTCGGAGTATGCTGTGTAGTTATTAGCTAGGGTAATTAGCATTCCCTGAACAAATAAATAGAGGGAAATTTACATACATAGCACACCATTCTTATGTATATACATATCTAACATCTAAACCTTATTGCTTATATTTATACCACCCAATTCTTTTCTATCACATCAACAATTCCATTATTTTAACTTTTAAAAAATGAGATGCACCTTTTTATGTATAGTTAAGGTGGCATATGTGTAAAAATTAAGGTTTAGGTGTTATATCTGTAAATACATAGGAATTAAGTGGTATGTAAGTAAATCTTCCGTAAATAAAAGGCAACAAAGTTACAAAAACATAAAATGCTTATACTGCATAGCGTTCAGCTGAGATGATTGTAAGAAACTGATATAAAGAATCCAAATTTTTTAAAGTTTATATAAGCATTATAAATTTCTCCACCTGGAAAAATTCAAACAATATCCTTCTTACAATTATACTTATCACACTCTAATACATTTAGTTTTGAAAGCTTTTATTATAAGAAGTTTTTTAAAAAATTTAAAAAAATTATGATAAAATCAGAGTTTGAAAATAAACGCAGCATTCATCTTTCAAGCTACCAAGATTATTAGCAGGCGTCAGACTGTCGGAGTATCAAAAGAATATAAATATAAACAAAACTCCAGAAGAAAGAAAAGATAAATTAAATAGACGTTTAATTTCTCTTGTAGTCGCTCAAAAAAACTTGTAATATTTGCCAAACCAATCCAGTCAAAATCTAGGCGAACAAAATATCAAATGGCATACATGGACCTTATATTTTCCGTTATAGACATGTTTTAAGGGCAGCGCTGTGCTCTATTTTCATCATCATCATTATACTTAGGAAAAGTCTAAGGTACCTAAGGAGGATCCCACATGGAAAGCAACCATGTGTGAAGAGCTTGGAGCTCTCGCTAAAAATCGAACATGGAATATAGTGTCACTATCAGCGGGGAAAAGAGTAGTTGGGTGAAAGTGAATTTCCACAAGGAAACAAAATCCGAAAGGGAAGGTGGAGCGATAGAAAGCACGATTGGTTGTGAAATGGTTCAATCAGGCGTATAACATTGACTATGACGAAACCTTTGCAATAGCAGCGAAGATGAGTACAGTGAGGATATTGATTTCTCTGATAATGAATGGTGGGTAGACATTACACCAACTCAATGTGAAGAATGTGTCTCTTCATGGTGAATTACTGGAGGAGATGCATGTGGAGATACAACCAAAATTCAACGCGGGCAGATAGTGGGCATGCTGTGCAAACTCAAGAAGTCATTTATGGCTTGAAACAATCACCTCGAACATAGTTTGATAAGTTTTGAAAGGCAAGGTGGACATGGGATATCAACACATCAATGCCGACCACACGGTGTACTTTTGACAACATGAAGGTAACACCACTATGCTTGTTGAGTATGTTGATGACATGATTGTCACTGGTGATGATGTGACATAGATTGCTCAATTAAAGATAATATTGCACAAAAAATTTGAGGTGAAAGACCTTACAACTTAGATACCTCCATGGGATTGAGGTGGCCTGTGGACCACGAGGAATGGTCTTATCTTAAAGGAAGTATGTATTGGACCTCCTCACGAAACGAGACATGTTGGGATGCAATCATGCGGTCTCTTCAATTGATCACAAGGCCAAGCAGGGCGTGGAGGCAAGAGAGTTCGTTGATTGTGAGAGGTACCATAGATTGGTGAGTCGTCTAATCTATCTGAGCCACACTAGTCCCGACATCTCATTTGCAGTGAGCATGGTGAGTTGCTACATGTATGATCCAAAGAATGATCATATGGACGCAGTGTATTAGATTCTGAGCTATTTGAAGAGTGCACTAGAGAATGGGTTGATCTTCAAGAATAATGTGCATATAGACATTGAACGCTATTGTGGCTATGATTGGGCAAGTTGCACTGATGACAGGAGGTTCACATTAAAATAATGCATGTTCGTAGGGGGCAACTTGGTCCCTTAGAAAAGCAAGAAACAATCAATAGAAGTGAGTTCAACAACAAAGGCCAAGTATAAAGCCATGACCTGAGGAGTTTCTGAGATGATGTGGTTGAGAGCTTTATTGTTAGCGCTAAGGTGGACTAAGGAGCAAAAAGGAAGTAGTCGTGCGACCAAAAAGTTAGCAATCAACATTACCAGCAACCCGGTGCAACATGATAGAACCAAACACATGGAGTTTGATAGGTTCTTCATCAAGGAAAAGTTGAATACCGTACTACTGAAGCTAAGTCATGTAGCCAGGGAGAGTAAAACCGCCTCACCAAAGGACCTAGCTTATTAGATTCGTCTAAATTATGTGACAAGATGAGCTTAGTGGATATCTTTTGTCATCTTGAGGGAGATTGTTGAGATCTGTATCTAATTTTGGGTTCTATTTTTAAATAGAAGTCTAGGGATTTATTTGTAATAAAGTTGTAAGGCACTATATAAGCCAAGTCCTTAATGAAATAAACTTATTTTTAAGCAATTATATCCTTCAATATTTTTTAAAATATTGAGGTACAAATTTATTACTAATAAGATTTAGTTTGAAGTCATTAGCGATAATTTTAATATTTTTAAGCAAAAAAGTTAAATGCTGATCACTTTTATTAATAACATTATTAGTGAATTTGCATATTACTTTTTATCTAGGTAATTATTTCTTTGTTCTTCAACTTTTTACTTTTTTTTCAAATTAATTAATTCATTACTTAGGAATCTGCATATTGATTTAATGCAATCATTTTATTATTTTCTTATTACAGTGAACAAACTTGCAAATATTTATTTATGTTATAGATTGCAAAAAAAATTGCTCATGATTTATTTATTACATTTATAGTTCAAGCCAAGTAGCCAAATACTAATTCCAAATTGTTTGCTTATATTTGAAAAAGTATTTATTAATGTGGCAAGCCAACTATGATGATAGAAAAAAAAAATTCAAAAAGGCCAGTCCTATCATATATGTGAAAACTCTGCTCAAATTTCAATCAAACATGAATGGTATGATCAAACTAAATTTCGTATACACGTCTCGGTTTGGCTCAATTATAGCCCACATCTAATCTAGGGCTCCAATTGAGACCAAATTTGCACGCATTTGTAAAAAATAGGCCCCATGTTAACTGAAAAGCCTCGTTAGAGACCAGAGGCAAATCATTGATTATGTTAGGGCCAAAAAATCACGTGCAGCGTGAATGACAGTCTATCAGCTCATGCATAGCATCAACTATCTATAAAGAAAGAGAAACGAACTTAACTTAGGCTTAACAAAAATGAAAACAAATCTTACTGTGCAGTTCGTTAAGCCATCTGCCGATGCTATCAAAAGTCTGGCTCCTGCTTATGTCGTAAACCACTAGAGCTCCTACAGCACCACGGTAGTATGCCGATGTCACCGCTTTGAAACGTTCCTGGCCTGCTGTATCCCAAATCTGAGCTTTTACCTCCTTCCCATCAATTTCCATTTTCTGAGTTTGGAACTCAACGCCTATTGTAGACTTGGAGTTTGTGTAGAACTCATCCCGAGCAAACCTTGCAAGCAAATTTGACTTGCCAACAGCAGAATCACCAATCAGAACTATCTTAAAAAGATAACCATGACTCTGCTCATCTTCTTCTGAATAGAACGCCATCCTTTAATGCCTTTAAATTTAAGATAATCTTGATGCTTCTTTGTAGAATTGTGCATTTATTGATGCCATACAAAGAAAATCACAAAAACAAAAAATTAATAACAGCATAGCGGCTTGTTCAAAACATACAAAAATCAAGATTCCGTGACACCGAGCAGTCTGAAGAGGAAACTTACAGGAAAACTAAAATTAAAGCCCAGATACCTCGATGCTAAAACTAGAGGTAATAACGAGGTAAGTTCTAGAAAGAGAGAGAGCTAAACACTTCGCCAACAAAGTTCTATTTTGAATTGAGTTTAAACCTGATTTAAGTCGATTAATTAAAATTAATCTTGATATATAAGTTCTGCACGTGTTAACATATATATATCTGCATATATGATATATTTTGAGTTAAATCATTTTTTTTTCAAGAGAGCTATTGCAGAGTTGGAGCACATCAGCCTTGATTTTGATCCAATTAAAATTTAAGTGATTATCTTGTAATTTCAAGTTTTATATATAATAACCAACCGTGGCTAGAACTACAAAATTATAAATAAGAAGCATCAAGCAATATCCAAAAAAAAAATGAGGAGATTTAAACACAACCCAGAAAATCCATTACCCTAGAACTCCCTGATCATAATCTCGACATAGCATGCAAATCTGCAAGCATGAGCACAACTACTAATAAATTAAATGAGAATTCTTACACTTCCAACTACATACAAAATATCTAACTCAGCGCAAAACATCGAACGTAAAATTGTCATGAAATTGGTGCAATGAACAAAGAGAAACAAAATAACAAAAAAAAGTAACCTAGAGATCTTACATGAAAAACCACAGATGAGGAAAAACTATGGGATATTTGTTGTACAAAGAAATCAGACATTTATAGACTTCTACAAAAGGGTCAATAAAGCAAACGCATACGAATAACAATCTAAAGGCTATAATAAGATTAATCCAATGGTAGAAGACTTCAATTTGTGTACTCATAATTTTCTACTAAGGTGAGTGTGGCCTATAGAGTTTGAGTACATAGTTTAATAATCTTTACCTTGACATGAATTTGCAATTTTCAAGAGAATGCGGAATAAACCTTTAATCTTTGATAGAACATCCTCAATCTTTTCCATTAAAAACTCTAGGGATCAGCAATGAGTATCAATCATATCTAGGCAATGCTCAAACTTTCCAATTAAAAGGGTTTTAGTCATCATATTGATAATAATATCATGAATGCTAATTTTGCTTGTAATAATATTACCATGACTATAACTTCATGAATAAAATGATAATATCAATATGTTTATTTTTCTCACGTAACATTTGATCTTTTTAGTAAAACAAATATACTATCACACATCTGTTGACCTCATTTTTAGTGAGGTCTTAGTCTTCTACTCTTAGAACCTAGGATCTAGCTTTAGGAGTTCTTATTGACCATCCTAGCGGACTAGCAATGTAGCCTACCTCCCGTAGAACTTCAAGCCACTTCTTGACTCATTTTTGTGAAGAACTCGCATGAGTGGTTCCAAGCACTCAACCTTTAGTTGCAAGGGCTAAGGACCAACATGTAGAGAGCCCGAAAATGAGTTCCTATAGGATCAAACAACCTTAGGTGAACCCTTTGTGACTCGATTACTCACGAACGCTGCAATTCATGCACTCACTGCATCACACACAATTTTGGCATAAATCGACTCGCCCGTCGGCAAACTCGCTCGAACGACCTCGGATGACGAAACGGACCGCGCTGACGCGTTCAGAACGTCTACTTTAGCTAGAAAGGACACCCATATTGTTGTGGTTCCACACTCGCGCGAACTGCACGGATATCGATGCACCTTTTTTTTTAGCGGTGTGCGGGCCCGGGCTTAACTCAGGTCCGACTCGAGTTTGATTCAGGCTGGACTCGGGCCGAACGCGGGCTAGGCACCAGCTCACCTAAATTTGAAATTCAAATTTCAAAATTCAAATGGATTATTTAATTTTTGTCTTAATTAAGATTAATTCAAGAGTTAATTATTTCCATTTATTTCCTGCCCCTGCATTTGGAAATGATTTTATTTCCCCGCCCAATCGTTCCAGAGTAACGGCTATTGCCCCGCTCCAATTCTAAAAAGGAAGGGATGGCTCCTTCCTTCGGGGTCGACTTCCTCTGCCTGCCCGGAGCTCTTCTCTTCCGTTGGCATTTCGCTCAATTTTTTTTTATTCCGGTCGCTGCAATCAGGAAGCTCGCCTCCTCCCTGCGCCGAAGATTCCTGCTCGCACTCCCCGCCTCCTCCCTCTCGTGCGCGACAGACGAGCCGCTCGCTCCCGCTTCCCGC